GGGGGGGGAAATGGCACACCTGTAATACTTTCAACAATAAAGATAAATAAAATAAATAAATAAACCATAAAATTAGAGTTCACATTGATATCAGCAACAGGCAAAATACTTTGGACAGATGAGACTCAACATCAATACTCATAGGTTTACATGTGAAAGCATATTCACATAGTTTGTGTAACTCAGTAATATTCCATTATCACCCAAGTCTGTAAATCCTATTTGGTACGCTCTTCTGCAACTGTATCCATGTTAGAAAGATACTAAGAGGTTGAAGTTTTTAAAGCTCCACTATAAATGAATAAAAAACAGGTATTACTTTCTACAGGGGGAAACTTTCAGTATCAAAACCGATTAGTTGTCAATAATTTTAAAATATTTATAATGAGTTAGCAGGGCAATAGACCTAAAAACAAAGAACGCAACATATTTTAACATTTTCATCATATTTAAAGTCCAAGAGTGTCTCACACATGAGACTTCAAATCCCTTCAACTCCCTATTTAAAAAGCAGTTTTCACTGAATGCTGCAGATCATACACACACACACACACAATCACCAAACAGGTTTCCACCTGCCAGACCTTCTCAGTAGCCTGCTCTAAAACACAGAGATAATAGGAATCTACATGGTCTTATTCAAACAGCCCACGTTCCCAGGACCCACCTAAGAATCCCAGGTTCCATGAACTGAAACACTCCTAAAACAATCTCCCTCTAACATCTTAAGAAAGCAGGCTGCGGAGAGGAATTAAAAACAATAATAAGAGAGGTGGTTTTTAAACAAATTAAATCACAAAAAGACTTACCTCAGTCAAATATTTAATTATTTTCTTGTCTTACATTCTCTTTGTTAGCACCTTTATTGTGAACCTGGAGGAGAAAATAAAAGTGAAAATTACTTTTTACTGAACACAAGACTTATAGGCATGGTGGTCAAATAAAGCCTCCCGGAGAACATGAAGTCTGAGATAAATCAGGAAGAACAAAATGGAAGTTACTAAAATGGGATGGTTGGGAAGGAAAGCAAGCGTTGCAAGTGTAATTAAACAACTTCTCCTAAATTTTTCAAGGAGCTACATAAATGACTATATTCAACAGACAGGCTTAAGCCCTGAAGCAGGTCAAGAGCTGGGTTGCTATACTCAGAACATCTGCACTGGACCCCAGCTCTACCGCTTCCTAGCTTGGTATCTTCAGCATGTCCCGAGCCTCTATGTGCCTCGCTTTCCCTACGTGTATAGTAACAGTACCCAACTCACAGAACTGCGGAGGGTTATGTAAGGTAATTCACATCAAGACTTTACAACAGTTGCTGGAACACAATAAATGTTCAATAATGTTAATTACTGCTTTTATTATTACATGCTTTTATATAATAAAAAACCTGCTTCTCATCCTGTACCACCACCATTATTATATTGAGAAATGGCATAATCTTGTCTTCAAGGGGCTTATGGGGTACTGGGAGAGAGAAAAGAGTTACCCAGACACATAATATAAGACAAAAGAAAAATCAAAGTAAATTATTATTCATTTATTTAACAAATGAGAGTCTACTCATTGCCAGGTATATTGCTGAGCATTGTTTGGTGGACAGGATAGACATATTTTCTCTGCACAGTTTCCAGTCTATCAAGGGTCACGCTATAGGAAGATGAGCCACACGAGGAGACAGATACTGTTTTTTACTGGTATGGGGCAGTATGTATCTGAACTGGTAGAAATGGATAGCAGAACATTCATGACAGGAAATACAAGACATCTGGGGAGCCTCACGGTCAGGGTGCGTCCAAGAGGGCAGTAAGCAGTATGGATGGAAAGCAAGAAGGACCTCAAATGCTGCTCTGAGTCTGTTCTCTGTTTTCAAGTATGCTGATTATCCTCCTCGAATTGAACCACTTAAATTTTAATCTTTCTTTGTTTTAATTCCAATTCTAGTATCTTTTTATTATTTTTCTTCATGGTTTCCTTTTTTTTCCTTTATTTTATTTTATTTTTTAATATATCTTTATTGATTTCAGAGAAAGGAAAGGAGAGGGAGAGAGAGAGACAGAAACACCAATGCGCCCGACTGGGGATTGAGGCGGCAACCTGGGCATGTGCCCTGACCGGGAATCAAACCTCAATCGCCTGGATCCTAGGTAGACGCTCATCCGCTGAGCTACGCCCAGCTGGGCCTTTTTTTCCTTTTAAAGGTGAGAGGGGTAAGGGTAGGGGGGAAAAAAAGAACAATTCCAGCCCATGTTGGCACTGGTGGTGATGGTGAAAGTGGCATTACATGATGAGCTTTACATGTTCTTTTTTTAATTCTCCCAGTTGCCTAACAAACACAGAACTGCTCCTTTTACAGATCAGGAAACTGAGGTTCAGTGAAGTCAAATATCCCCTCATGTCCACAGAGCTAATAAATGCAGACACAAAATTAAACTGCAAGCTTAACTCCCAAGTCTTTCTTACTCTTAGGAGAAAATATGTAAGGGATTCCGCAAAATTTAAAGTCTGTTAAAAATGGCTTAAAACTTCAGGGTCTATCAATTTCTATACTTACAAAGAAATAAACAGCCTTCATACAGACACTCAAAATCACTTAGAAAAGATAAAGAGTTTACTTACAAAAACAACAAGATAAAATACGTAAGATAAATTTAACAAGAAAGGGGCAAACCCTATATTAGAAAAACTCTTTAAAGCTTCAGAAGGATTCAAGAATAAAATCAAAGAAATGAAAAAATACACACTGTTCTTGGATAGGAAAATTCAACACCAGGAAAATATCAATTCTCCCTATGTTAGTTTATAAATTTAACATGATCCCAATTTTTTTTTAAAAAAGTTCCCACCCCTGAAACAAGACAAAATGATTCTAAAGTTCACATGGAAAAATAAACAAGCAAGAAGTGCCAGGAATATGAAGGGCAACAGGGGAAACTAGCTTTATAAGATATCAACACTTTATAAAACCAATAATGTATACTGGTGTAGGAATAGAAAGACTAATGGAATAGAACAGAAAGTTGAGAGGTGTACCCCAATACATCGAGAAGTTCAGGATACAATAAAGATGTATTGCATTCTGAAATAAATGGGTAAGATAACTGGTAGGAATATGGAAAAAGACAAAGTTGAATCTATACATCACCCCTGAACACCAGAATAAATTCTACATGGATCAAAGATTTAAATTAAAAATGAAACCATAAATGTACTAAAAGAAAACAGGGACAAATTCCAAATTCTTGGAGGCCTTTCTGTGTGTGACTCAATCCAGACACTGCAAAAGATTAACTACCTAAATTTTAAAGATACAACTTTTAAGCCTGCTCTATACCAAAATACATGAAAGTAAAAACAAACAAAAAAGCAAAGCAAATGACACCTGGGGGTAACTGTAACTCACATCACAAGGGCTAATCTCTATAATTTACAAGTAGAAATTGACTAGAAAAAAAGCAATGCAAAAGAAGATGCACAAAGGACAGGAACAGATAGTTCATAGAAAAAGAATTAGAAATAGCCTTTAAGTATTTGAAAAGATGCTCAGCCTTATTCATAATCAAAGTAATGCACATTAAAACTACACCAAGTTATCTCTCACCTATCATACTGATATAAATCCCAAGGTTGGTAAATGCAGTCGGTTGGAGAGGCTACGGAGAAACAGGTGCTCTAATGCATTATTTTCAGAGGTTCAAAATGGTACAACCCTGAAGGAGGGCAGCATTCATCAAAATTATAACTGCATTGCTCACTGACTCGGCAATACTACTTCTAGAAAGATATGCCACATAAACACCTCACATATACAAAATGATATGCATACAAGGTTATTCATGCCAGGGTGTCTGCAATTCTCAAAAAAACTCAAATATGCATCAGTGGAAGCTAGTTCAATAAACAGGCATACAATGGAATATTCTGAAGCTCTTAAATATTTGTTTTCTATACACAAATATGGAAAGATTCCAAAGATATATTAACTAAAAAATGCAAAGTGGCAGAATAATTCACACAGTATGCTACATTTTATATAAAAAGGAGGGAGTGTATACTATTATACTGGCATTTGCTTCTATCTATACAAAGAAACAATAGACATCTACAGGAAACAAAAGAGGTTTTCTGTGGGGAGAGGAGGAAAGGTTAGACCAAGACAGTTGTTAAGACTCCTCAAAATATGTTATTTTAATATTTAAATATGAACATTTTATTTATACAGAAGGAATTTTAAAGTGTTAAACGTATAACTCATAGAAAGAAGAGAAAGAGAACTACCAATAAATCAGAGTCAAAATCCAACAAGCCTTAAAAAAGAGATTTTTCTCTGAAATTAGATATTGACAAGCAATTTTAGTTTGGACATCACTAAAAATTATAAAAGACTATTTTTTTCTTCAACCAGGCTAAAGCATGTGACTATAACAGTTTATTTAAAAGTTATTTCAAGGGGTGAGGAATTAGAAGAGAGAATGGAAGGTGCAATAGAAAGGATGCTTTAATCTAATGGTTCTCAAAGTATGGTCCTTGGACCAGCAGCATTAGCATCACCTAAAATCTGTTGAAAATGTAAATTCTCTGAACCAGAAACTCTGAGAGCAGTAGATAGCAATCCCTATAATACACACTCAATTTTGAGAGCCATTAATCTGGTACGGTGCTTCCCACACAGTCACCTGCATCCCTTGGAGGAGGATCATATTAAAATGCAGATTCTGGTTCAGTAGATCTGGGGTGGGCCCCGGAGTCTGCATTTCTCCCAAGATCCAGGATGCTACTAGTTCAGGGACCACACTTTGAGAAAAACTGACATCCACCTGCGGTAGAAGGTAAGCAGTATTCATGTGGTTGAGTTTCCTATGAAACCTGTCCTCAATATCAGACAGAAAAAGTCCTTAGGTTTCCTGGCTAAGAGATACCATGTAGTCTCCCATATAAATCCAACTTAAGGATGTCCCATTTCAAAAAACTTTCATTTATAAGTGGACCTATGAGCTGTCCAGAATGATAAAAACCGAAAAATCATATTCATATATCTGCCTGATTATACTGTCTGATTCAGTTTACTTCAAACACATTAACCGCACCATCTGCTCGCCATGAAAATCACCAAGCAGTTTGTTTCTTATATTTACAAATACTGATTCTCCATTTGTCCTATATGAGAATAATCTTTATAGGAATCTTCTGAGTAAAGAACTCTGGTTTAGACAGAAAAATCTAGACATGTTGTATATCTTCATTTTGCAAGTCATCCCTTGAATAAAGTTTTTGGTGTTAAATCGATGTGCTGAAATTTCTATATATTCCTTAATTAAACTGAATCTAAGATGCCATCAATTTTCAGACACACTATAGTTGCCAGTTTAAACCATGCCAACTTTAGGATACCATTCCACCTTAGATATGCATCTTTAAAAAAAAAAAAATCAATGAAGTTGCTTAATTAAAAATCTCAGATGTATAATAAATTACTTATTTTCATCCATATAGGCATGGATTTTTGCCCATTCAACAATGTATCCCCCATTGCCTAAAAATTGGAACAGTTTCCATATCTATGTAAATCATATTATTTGGTTCAGTTTTGTACAGATGAATATAAAAAGTAGTAATTTGTTTAAAAAGTAGTAAAGAAAAAAAAAAAGGAGTGACCTTTTTTATTCTGGAACATATTGGTTGCTCAAAGTAATAAAAAGTAATTACTCTCAATTTGGATAATTTTCCAATCCAAAAGTATTCAATGTATCTCTCTCTAATCAATTTAAAATATATCCTTGCCCTGGCCCGTGTGCTCAGTGGTTAGAGTGTTGGCCCTCCCACCAAAGGGTGGCTCTCATTTGATTCCTGGTCAGGGAATGTACCTGCCTTGCAGG